ACACACACACACACACACACACACACACACACAACACACACACACACACACACAACACAACACACACACACAACACAACACAACGCACACACACACATACACACACATACACACACATGCACACACACACACGCGCGCGCGAACAAATAGAAGGTTCCCCAAAGAAAACCAGAGTAAAGATAGTTAAGAAAGGGATGTAATGTATCTATCGTCCTCCATGTTGCTTGCTATAGACATAAAACTGTTCATTTTTGGATTGGCTCATCTCAAGCATGGTCCATTCATTGTCTGCAATCGAGGGAAAGCTGCTTTGATTTTGGATCTACTCATCTGGGTGGAACAAGGGCTGTTGAGGTGAGGGGAAGAAAAAAAAACACACAAAAAAAAATGAGACGCCAGTACCTCGAGGGAAACCCCTCTCCGCCTCTTTGTGTACGTGATCTCATTCTGTATTTACATGCTGCGATTGCCCAACCTGGCGCAACTTGCATGTTGTGCTTCGACACCCTGACATGCTGTTCCAAGCCTGATTGTAACATAGTATACTAAACATATAGTGGGCAATCACTCAGTCACACCATACTGTAGTCGCTGCACAACTGCTTGGCATACAGTGAAACCCTTCTCTTCCTTTGGGGCTCCAGTAGACAACCAGGCGTTGGGGTAAAAAATGGTCAGATGAAGGGTGGATGGGGTTCTTCTGAGGGGCGTTTACAAAAAAAAAAAAAAAAAGGTCAGATGAAGGGGGGATGGGGTTCTTCTGAGGGGCGTTTACAAAAAAAACAAAAAAAAACAAAACAAAAAAAAGAACCAGGCCCACGAACTTCTGCACAAGTGATTGGCAACATCGCCTCCAGATTGACAGTGTCAGAAAAAAATAAAGGGACGGAGCATGGGACAGGCAAATATCGTGAAATATGATTTGGAAATCTGATGCTCAGATTCAGTAACACCGTCATACCTCCAACGACCAGTTGTGAAGCGAAAGCTTGAAAAAAAAGAAAAAGGGAGTCTCAGGTGATCTAAGTAATCATAATTCAGTGAATGGTGCAATTATGTGGAGGATTGATGCTGCTGGCCTGATATGTTGCGGAGCGGCTGGGTATTGTCGATGTCCAATCGCTGCTCACATAAGGGTGAACACAATCAACAAACCACAGTACCTACCCATTGTTATGAGAGAGAGACACAGTTAAGGTGGACTGACCCTCGTTGTGAAGAAAGGAAAAAACGATAGCATGGTATTAGTAGTATTAATCAATGTTGATAATTTATATTAGTGCAATTTTGGCGTAGATGAGGTTCCTTCTTTTTTTATTTATTACCTTTTTTTTGTCGAGTAAGGCCCGCCTCTCTTTCGTCTGCGAACGGTCTGCATGCCACGTCAGAGTCCACGTGGCACGATGACGGTGCTACAAAGGATTAGGAGACAGAAGAGGTGATGCACGTGCAAGTGTGCAAGGTCCGCAAGCCACGTCCGAGTCCACGTGGCACGATGTCGGTGCTACAAATGATTAGTCGACGTGAGTATGCGCCGACCTTTGAGTCCCGGTCAAACGATAAAACGTTCTCCTCTGCACTTCTCCTCTGTCTGTGAAGCGAAAGCTTGAAAAGAGGCTCAGGTCTGCATGCCACCTGGGGGAATGCACTTGAAGTAAAGGTGCAGTGAGAATGTGGCCGACAGTAGACGCTCGAGACTTGTCGTACCAGACTCAATGGCAGGGAAGGCGCTGCAGTGAATCTGCTGCGGAGCAACCTGCGAGATATGCATCGTAATTTTTTGTTTGTTTATAAAGTTGATACATTGATGGACCAAATTTATAAACCAATCTATGGAGTGTGTATGCAGTCACAACTGTTCTTTTTGTGTTGCAATTGATACGGTGTGCGTTGTGTGACCAGGTGACTCTGACAGACTGCATTCCAGCGCTTCTGGAAAACCTCCGTCACAATGTCAAACTCCTTCCTGCAAAGCGTCTCGACATGGAGGAGGGAATAAGGAATGGGGAAGAAGTCAAGAAGGGGTTTCGCATGGGCGAGCCACTTGTGAGAGAGGGCAGGAGCAACCAGCCTCTCACACTGTGTAAGGATCAAGGGAAAGCTTCTTCCCAAAGGATCGGCAACCAAGATGGAACAACAGGTTACAGGAGCAATTTTGCAGCATCACCAGAGCCTGGTGACTTCCTCTTCACAGATTTCCAGATCGGCCTCGTTGGCTGTGATGCAAGCAACAGATATGGCGGTGGAGATGGATGCTTGGTCAGGGTGAGATTGCTCGAGTGGGGAGAGGACAGTGGCTTGGGCGACAGATGTGTCCCTTCAACAGAGGTATGGTGAACAAGGATTCTTCTTCTTCTTCTTCTTCTTCTTCTTCTTCTTTCTTCTTCTTCTTCTTCTTCTTCTTCTTCTTCTTCTTCTTCTTCTTTCTTCTTTCTTCTTCTTCTTTCTTCTTCTTCTTCTTCTTCTTCTTCTTCTTCTTCTTATTATTATTATTATTATTATTATTATTATTATTATTATTATTATTCCTCGTAGTCGTAGTCGTCATCGTCGTCGTTGTCTTCTTCTTCTTCTTGCCGGCGTTGTTGTCTTCTTCTTCTTCTTCTTCTTCTTCTTCTTCTTCTTCTTCTTCGTCGTCGTCGTCATCGTCGTCGTCGTCGTCGTCGTCGCCGTCGTCGTCGTCGTCGTCGTCATCGCCGTCATCGTCCTCGCCGTCTTCTTCTTCTTTTCTTTTTTTTAATGGGGCCTGTTGGCCCCAGCTCATCCTCCATTCTGAGGAGCATCAGTTCGGTCCCTATTCCACCGTCAAGTCAGAAGCATACAATGATACCCACTCTTTACGCCTCCTTCTCAGTTTAGGGTTTAGGGTTTAGGGTTGGGTCGTGTGCTTTTCATTTGAGACGCTTTTCATTTGGTGACCAACCTTGTACTGCAAACGTTCTACTGACTTGTCGTTTGAAACGCTTTCCTGATGTCGTGAGAAATGGTAGTTCCCCTTAACATTTCCACTCCTTGTGCACCCCCCCCCCCCCCCCCAACACACACACACACACATACAGACTGACCCGCCCATCTACAAATGCAGGTAAGTTCGTTTGAGACCCCCCCCCCCCCAAACATACAGACGGATCCCACGCCCATCTACAAGGGGGATGCAGGTAAGTTCGTTTGTAACCATTGGTTTGAACGCCTTGGGTGTTATGCAACAGGTTGTGCAGGTAAGTTCGTTTGTAACCATTGGTTTGAACACCTTGGGTGTTATGCAACAGGTTGTCCAAGACTCGGTGAATGCGCGGAAGCTGGAGAAGAGTAAAACGTTTGATGTGCTGATCGGAAGCGATATTCTGTACGATCCATCTCATGTGCAGCCACTTGCGGTGCGTGGATTCACAGGATTGATTGAACGCCTCAGGGCCCATCTTCCATTGGTTGATATCTTTGTAAGATTGGCATGAATCGGATCCAAAGCTTGGTACACACAGGTTGCTGCAGGTCTAGCACGTTTACAGCCCAAGTTGGCCCTGGATTCTGATGTTCATTTCTGGTTATTTGCTAGTGTCTGTGATGTGCTGCAGTGTGTTAAAGTAATAGTAAGACTTCTTTCTCTGTATGCATCTCATGTCATGTTATCCTTATGCAGCGGTCGTGCTAATCTTCTTTCTCTGTGCAGTTCCAATTTGAGCAGATGTGCTGAAGGACGTGTAATTCTGTTTTCACTTGTTCATTCATTTATTCGTGCATTCGTCGGCTCATTCGGTTTTGTTCGTTCATGCATTCATTTGTTTGTTCATTTGTTCATGTGTTTGTTTGTTCATTCGTTCATTCCTTCATTCGTTCATTCATTTGTTAGTTTGTTAGTTCATTGTTCATTTGTTTGTTCGTTCGCTCGCTCGCTCGTTCGTTCCTTTGTTCATTCGTTCGCTCGTTCGTTCGCTCGTTCGTTCACTTGTTTGTTTGTTCGTTCGCTCATTCGTTCCTTTGTTCATTTGTTCGTTTGTTCGCTCGCTCGTTCGCCCGTTCACACGTTTGTTCGTTTGTTCGTTTGTTCGTTTGTTCGTTTGTCCGTCCGTTCGTTTCGTTCGTTTGTTTCGTTCGTCCGTTTTCCCATTTGCCTAAGCTTGACTTGTTTTGTCTGTATGCAATTGTCAATGGCTCTGGCTTCCTCCCCGCTGCATGCCGAATATGAAGATTACGATTCAGCAAAGGATGAGAATGCCTGATGGAGAGGCATTGCTCGTGGGAGCGGTTCGTGAGCCAGCGCTTCTCGATTCATTTCTTTGTTATCTGAAATCCCAGGAATTGGAGGTAAGTTTGGACGGCATATTGCCACCATCATAAGACTTCACAGTCCACATTGAATCTTTCTACTTCGTATTGTTTGCTTTTTCCACCTCTCGCACCTTCCCCCCATTACTATTTAGTGATATCACTGATATGATGCTTATTCACCTGTTTGGCTGTCTGTCTCTCTTTTCTGTCTTTCCGTCAATCCCTCCTCTCTCTGCCTGTGGCTCTATGAGTCCGTAATCCTATCTATTTATCCATCCATCCATCTGTCCGTCTGTCCGTTCGCCTGCCCATCCGTCCATCCATCCTTCTGCCCATCCATCTGTCCATCCATCCGTCCTTCCGTCCGTCCATCCGTCCGCCCATCCATCCATCGGTCCATCCGTCCATCCGTCCATCCGTCCATCCATCTGTCCGTCCGTCCGTCTGTCCGTCTGTCCGTCCATCCGTCCGTCCGTCCATCTGTCGGCCCATCCGTCCATCCGTCCATCCGTCCATCGGGCCAAACGTCCATCCATCCATCCATCCATCCTTCCATCCGCCTTTTTCTGGCTGTTTGTAGTTGTCTTCCGGATAACTGATCACACAGAGGCTTTGTACATTTTTTTTTGTGTTGCAACTTTTTCGTTAAACTAAGAATTTGGACCATTTCTTGATTGATGCACACGTTGCACATCTTTTCACTCTGCTTGCCTGTAGTTGAGTTGGTCTGGTCATTAATCACTCCCTGTGCACCGCTAGCCTGTCTCTGTGTTCATTTTTCTTTGCCTACTCCCCCTATCTTTTCTGGGGCTCGGTCCTATTTGGTCTTCCTGATATGATGAAAGGGACTGGAAGAGCCTGATGCTCAATACTGGAAAGTAGGTCCAGTCCCCAGTTCTGTCAGGCTCCTTATCCAAGATAGCAAGTGCTATGATTATGCCTTTCTAAAAAGAGCATGATCATATCATGTATTCACATGGAAGACCAGTGAGCAAGGACTCAGAATCAAGAGTGTGAAGGAAACCAACACGAAATGTTAGGGTGGCAATCTTGAACTCACCTCATGACACAACCAATGGACATATACATCACTTTAATGAACACATCATCATTCGGTACAACTCTCAGGTACATCCTCGTGGGTATGACACAGATACTGGACCCTCCCTCCTCTGTCTCATCCTTGTGGTCCTCTTCCTTCCTTTCATCTTCCTCCCTTTTTCCCTCTCTCATTCCCTCCTCCCCCCCC